GATGTTCTGCTTCTGATGATCATCTGTGACTTGCTGTCAATGACTCCATCTGTCCCCTGTGATGTAGCTTATAGTAATTTGTGCAGAGAAATGCCAAGTTCATTTTAAGAATGGCCTTTGTGGTCTGTGGTATGTATCGGCATTGATGCCTGTAGTGTGAGTATTACTGTAAATGAGTTGCGTAACTGACAAGAAGCTATGACAAGAAGCTTCTATCTAAATTCACTCAGAAAGTCTGATTGTGGTTGTGTGATCATGTGTGTTTGGGAGGATGCAGTTGGTGAGTAATCGGCCAACATTTATTGTAAACGGGCACTAATTTGACCTTTTCCCTGTCATCACTGACCAGAGCTGGACCGCTCAGGTTCTGTGTGTATTTTCATTTAATGTAAATTACCCAGCCTGCTCATCGCCTGTGACAAACTGACCTATTTCTTTTCTGTTGTCCTTGTGAAATTCAGGATGTGTCCAAACAAGTGCGGAGCTACAAGAAAAGTTACACACAGATAGAGAAGCCGCCCACGTGTAAACTGGATGAGAGGACGTATCGTCTCCTGAGTGAGCCAGAGGGAGACATCAAACCTCAGGTTAGCAACATAAAAATTAAAAAAATTAATACTAATTGTTATTTTTTTAATGCGATCGGACAGTTAAATTGTGTTTGTGTTTCTGTGCAGGATTTGAAGTTCACCCTGGCAGTGACAAAAATGAAAGGCTACTTTGAAGCTTTCTTTGAGCAGCCGCCTCCGTTTAGATTGTCTCTTATAGAGACTGAGTCCGATGAGACAGTGTGGTCCGCCACCATCAGAGAAGGTACCATTGCATTTAGTCTGATATGTTAAAACCATGTAGGTGTTGACGATAAACTATTTAGCAACGTTACACATTTTTCTATGTTACATTTACAAGTTGACCCAAATAGTTTTTTGTGATCCACATGTTTTTATTTCCTCTACAAGCTGGTGATGTTCATCTTTTGCTCTTTCCTTAGGTGATTGTGTGAATAATACAGAAAAGAGGCCACGGAAGAGGACAAGCAGTACGTTTATTTCTTGTTTTTAACTCGATCAGATTTTTCCATCACAGATTTTCAGCTGCAGCAGGTTGACTCAAGTCATTTTTGTCACAGGCAGACAGAGGAGCAGCAGCCCCTCAGAAGAAGAAACAACCATCAAAAGGCCTCGGTGGCAGGATGAGTCTGGTAAATTTCTTTACTATTGACCGGAGAAGAGCTTAAGGCACAACTTTGTTTTGTACAACGTTGTTTTGTGTTATGTTATTCTCACAATATTACGATAATATTACTTTTTGTCATTATATTACAACCTTATTCTCGTAATATTTGGACTTTTTTTCCTGTCAA